CAGATGACCAGGTCATTTACACAAATGACTTGGTCATTTAAATTTTGAGTAAATGACCTGGTCATTTACCATCCCTGACTTGAGAACCCTCTTACGTAGTCGGTAGTTTAGGCCTTGACTACGTACACTAATAATAGGCCATATGCCAACACTGCTCGCAAAAAAACGTTCTCTTCCCCAAATTGGAAATGTAATACAATCTTATAATTAGTGCAGATGTCTAATTTTGTATATTAGCAATGAGATACTTTATTTAAATCTATATAATTTATTATATATTATCGATATTAAACTGCAGTAAAACAGTTATAAATAAGTAATAAACCTTAATTCTATTTCGATAAATTACGTTCGAGAGGTTTTGGTACCTTTTTTTACTTCGCATCTTAATCAGACTATGACAGTATACGTATTAATGGCAGCTATTTTTAGGTGCCAAGATTCGTAAGTGTGTCGACAAATGAAAAGATTCATTTTGACGATATTTTTACATGTATAAAAGAATATTGGTAGCCATTTCCTTTAAAAATAAGGATGTTGTTATATACTTTATTAGTTTTTGCAATCATTTCCATTACTTTAGTGAAATCACAAAATGTACCTACGGTTTGTAATGGATATGCGGAATTTTGCAATATTCCCTATTCTCAAATTTCATTTATTGCAACACATAATTCTTATGCTTATGGTAATAATGTCGCAGCAAATCAAAATTTCGACATTCCAACACAACTAAAAGATGGGATTCGAGTTTTCCTTCTCGATGGACACAAATCTCCATCAAGTACATCATCAAGTACATCATCAGAGATTGAACTTTGTCATCAATCTTGTTCTTTATTAGATTCAGGAACGGCAACAAATACCTTAAAAAACATTACAAAGTTTCTACAACAGAATCCAAATGAAGTAATTACAATATTTTGGGAAAATTTTGATAATATTGCACCGATTAATTATAAAACCTCGTACGATCAAGCAGGATTGACCCAGTATTGTTTTACGCAACCTGTTGATGAACAATGGCCTACCATGGCCGAAATTATTCAATCAGGAAAACGGGTTATTAACTTTATTGATAATAATGCTGACACCGATTCCGTGCCCTGGTATCTACCTTAACATTAATCTATCGCTATTAATAATATATGCATATATATATCTTTTCTATTGATGCGTTTTAACTATTATTTATAGGCTAATGCCAGAATATTCTTATGTATTTGAAACTCCGTTCGAAAATTTTAATCCAAATGCATGGCAATGTACTGTTGACCGTCCGAAAGATCAACCTCAACAAATGTACATGATTAATCATTTTCTTTACAATAAAATAACAAATACCAATATCGAAATTCCCCAACGTGATAGTGCAAACGTAACAAATGCAGCCAACCTTGCCCAGCATGTTCAAAATTGTACTAATATTTTCGTTCAGCGTCCAAATTATGTTACTGTGGATTTTTATAACAAGGGTAGCAATAACATAAATGCATTTAGTATTGTTGCCGGTTTAAATAATGTGAGTTATATATCATTAAAAACTGGCGGTACTGACGGAACAAAACAAAGTGGTGCTAGTAGTCTTGAACTTAATGTGCAGCAAAGTATTGGTTTTATATTAGTGGTTGTCATTACTTTTATAATTAAAGTAAATTAATAAATATATACTGTATATGTAATAGCCCATAATATTTTCTTATTAAAATTTTTATAGGTGATTCCATGCATGTAGAATAGCTTATGAACATTAGGAGCCGTAGGGATGGGTTGAACTGCTTGAACATGGTTTTAGATCTAACCTGGCTCAAGTCAGCTTAGCGTTAGTTGATTTAAGCCAACTACTCATATTGTTACTTTGAAAATTTTGCCGGTCAACCAGATTTTAAGAATTTATTGGGGACTCCACTGCAAAAAGAGGCAGTGAGACAAAAATTTTAATTTTGTAATTTTATAAAAATTTTTTTTTTTTTTAAAAGAGGTCTTTTCCTTGTTATTTTTATTTTGTATAAATATATGATTTACAATTTCTTGTAAATGATATATCTTTTTATAGAAGGGGAAATAGAGCTATAGCTATGCTAATTTACTCAGACCTAAATTTTAGCTAGATAGGTCTTGTCCTCTAGACTATATTATATATTTGGGTGAGGGAATAATTGTATTCTATATGCTTATTTAACTATCTGTTGTAATTTAGTTGTTTTTTGAATGTATTTTTGAAGCTGTTGTTATTGTAAATTTGAACTGTCTTTATTATTTGATTTGAACTTAAACTTGATTGATTTTGTATTGGTGGTTTTTGTATTTTGTTGTTGTGATTGTATAAACTTATTTTCAAAGGAATCTATATTTAATTGTAAATTCTTTTTATTATAAAATAGTGAAGCCATGTAGTATTGTTAGTAGTTGATGTGTTTTGGTTTACTAGAAATAAAGTATTTAGGAAGGTGTTATTTATTACATGATTTTTTTGGGAGGGGGGTCCCTAATAAAATATTATGTATATCAATATAAGTTCTGCCAGTCATCGGGCATTCAATTTTATTTAGTCAGATATAGTTTATCTAATCAGCAGATTTAATTTAAATACTGATTATCATTTATCATGTAGAGAGGTGGAGAATAAATTTACTATTTGTAAAAAATCACGTAATAAATAACATCGCCCTTATTCTTTAAACCATCTAGCAGACAAATTTGCTTGCTAAAATGATTTTTAAAAAGTTTTTTGCAATTTTCTCAAAGTATTATTTCTCTATTTATTAAGTAAAAATTAAAGATATTTGTTTTATTAATAATATATTTAAATTTTATTATTTTATTTTTAATTTTAACAAATATATTACAATTTTTTTTTTCCTTTTGGCAATCTTTATTAGGTTTTATAAATTTTAATATATTAAATACAAAATTTTTAGGTGGCTAATCTACTTAATACCTAATTTACAAGTGTTGACTTACCTGGTTGCTTAAAGAGTATTTATATGCAATCTGCTATAACAAGTATTTACCTCTATACTAGTTAACTTTATCTTAGACTAATTAGTATATCAACGAATAACACTTGTAGCTCATTAAAGCTGTCTACTTTTTCTTTTAATTTTTTTTCTTCTCAAAAAGCATGAGACAAAAAAAAAAAAGTAATTAAAATCGAAGTAAGAAATTGAAAGAAAATGAAAAAACAAAAAACAAAAAAAAAAAGATATAGATTTTGAAAAAAGAAAACAGAATTGATACATATTTATACTTGTTTTTTTTTTTGGTATTAAGGTGACCTCTTTGGTCTGGGGAACTTTTTATTAGAGTATAGACAAAGTTTTGTATGTAATTATAATAATGGTACATCAAGCCACACGTGCACCTTTTGAGTGCCTATTTTAAGTAGTCCGCCCGAAGGTTCTACACTATCTGCCGTACCTGTACCCCAACTAGGGGGGTACCCATTTAAACCAT